ACTCTCTCTCGCCTGATCTGTCTTCCCCCGAACGTAAGGCGAGATCTTTACCAAACCGGAAAGAGAGCGTGTATACCTGCGTAGCATCGTGTTCGCGTTCAGTGACCGAACGCAAACGAGCGCCAAAACCCGCCGAATGCGAACATAAAAATATTTCTATAAAAAAGAAAGTTCTCAGAAAAATCTGAAAACAATATATGTTATGCATGGTAACCCACCGGACGTCCGGACCGGGTTCCAGACAGTCCGGAACAACATCTCCAGGTCCGGTGTCCGGTCCTTGTGTCCGGATGGAGGCCCCCAGGGAAAAAATAAAAAGAAATAAAGGGGCGTCCCAAGACGTTTTTCGGGTCCTGGCCGCCCCTTGAAAAATAATGGGGTGATTTTTCAGTGTCGTTTCACCGCACCGGACAGGGCCTAGAGGTCCGGACACAACACACTGCAGGTTTTTGGGGTGGCGGGTTTCACACAGGCCCGAGCAATTTCAAAGCGGCCGTTTCGACGTGCTGCCCGCCCCTGCTGACCGTTGCCGATAGATAGATAGATAGATAGATAGATAGATAGATAGATAGATAGATAGATAGATAGAGAGAGAGAGAGAGAGAGAGAGAGAGAGAGAGAGAGCACTGGCAGTGCTGCCAGTCTGAAGACTCTGACGTACTGAACTGAACTGCAAAGTTCAAACCTTTTTTTTTTTCCCTTAAAAAAGGGGGCCCTCGGGGCTGCATATTATTAACTTTGGGGAACAGTCTGAGGCCGGGAATCCCTCGACAATGCAACCCGGGAGTAACTGGTACATCGGATACCAGGCGTTGGGTCTTTATAAGCAAGGGACAGGAATGGCCGAAACTCGGAGCGCTGCCCTGCGATGAACCACAACCCTGATTGAATTTCAAACTTTTAAGTTATATATGAAGTTCTGAACTTAAATTATTTAATTCAGAGTTCAAACTTCGAAGTTCATCATACTTCTTTCAAAAAAAAAAAATCTCTGTTTCTTTAGTCTTGTGCCTGCTTTGCACTGCTTGCAACTCTGCGTGTCTGCTAGTTGAATGTGCTTGTTGATTTGCTGCAAGACAGGTGCTCTGCTGCCTGAACTACAAAGTGCAAAGCAGGTAAGTGCCTGCCAACAGCCTCCACTCCTACTCCCGTTTTTTTTTTTGTTTTTTTTTTTTGGTCCGGAGATTTTGCACCCCCTGACACCGGTCTGGACTGTCCGGGTCCGGTGATGTCCGGATCACCGGACAGTCCATACTGGTATGGAAGACAGTCCGGGAGTTAGGCACGTCGAGGCAGCGACCCAGCCACCAAGTGTTTGCAGCATTCTCATTGGCTCGTGACACATGTGTGACGACAATGCTGCTTCCTCATTGGCCCGTAACCAGTTTGTGATGTGTCGGCCTCACACAGCATGTGCCGAGGGCGCAACCACCTTAGCCCTGGGCTCAAGGGTACAGCGCAGCCCCTTTGCTTTTGGAAAGAGCCTGGCGGCTCACGTTGTTCTGTAACCAACTGGCGTGCTGCAACTGCCTGAGTAGTAAGTACCCACTTATGGAAATATTGTCGAGAACAGACCTCACGTGGATAGCGGGCACGAGGCTTGCTGGGGGGGCACAGCCCAGAACACTTGTATGCCTAATAAGGGCTCTGCGAGGCTCATTCCTCGCAAAAGGAGTTCATTTCGCTGATTGGAACACTGTTTGCCCTCTAGTTGGAATGAACTTCGATGAAGTCATCAGTTTTTCTGAAAATTTTCACGATCACGACTACAAAGAGGCTTCTGCCCAGTACTTTGCCCACCTTCTTCCCCCGAATAGAACGTACTGTCGTTATAGCTGTATTTATGACTGAAAGATAGTTTACGATACCCAATATTTAGCTATAATGACCGTACGTTATATTCGGGGGAAGACTGTAGCAGCATGTAATAGAAGTGCTCAATGAAGATTACATTATATTCGGGGGGAAATGGATGTCCAATGTACCTTGGACAGCCATTTTTCTCTTTTCTGTGTCATAATGTGCGGCCTACAGGAGTGCCTTCGGACACACTTAAACCATGACCATGCTGACACAAAAAAGGGTGTTGAACGTAATCTTGAATCCCAGACAGATGGCTGTCACAGAAAAAGGGTGGTTTCCAGCATGGGCACCTGGGCCGCGGGTCTGACACCTCAAATTCTGGAGGCGAGAAGCGAAAACGCAGCCGCCGATTGTGAATTTATCAACGGCGGACCCAGCGTTTGACGTTTCAGGCTCTCGTTTTCTTGTGGCGACAAGTTTCGGACTGCAAGGCTGGGGCCGTGTACGTGTGGTTTACGCGCGATGCCAACGTCGTGTGACATAACGTGCGGTTCCTAGACTTCCTTTTTCTGGGATTAAATTACATGTTCAGCACCCCCTTTTTTTTTCTTAGGACCTTACATTTTAATTGAGAAGAGAAGATTACATTTTAGTGGAGAACATTCAATAAAACTTTGCCGCAGACATGTGCTACATACTACATACCATACTTGCAAGCAGACGGACCGGACGAGCGTCCGGTCCGGTCCGCTTTGCCGCGTGCGGCACCCTCCCCCCGGACCAGACGGACCCGGACCGCTTTTTTTTTGGTTGGGGGGGGGGGGGGGGGCGTAACTGGTCGTCGGGCGCACATTCGTGCGCTGCACGGGTCCGGTCCGGCGGTCTGCCGCACGTGCGGAACCGCCCGGACGGTGTCCGCTTGCAAGTATGCTACATACTACATAGTACATACAGTAAGACGCACAACAGAATACCATATCTTTCCTTTGTTCCAGGATTTGAACCCGGGTTGCCTGGGTGAGAGGTCACCGGGCATTTTTTAACCACAACACTTGATTGCATGGGTAAGGCGCGATGTTTAAAACAATCAGCAGTCAAACACAACACTTGATTGCATTGGAACAATTCGTCAAGGCACATGATGCATTTTTTTTTAATTAATGTGATCACAGTTTGCATTTTTAAGCTAACCGGACTGGTTTTGACGGCAGTGTGAATTGAGGTCGATTAAAGCAAACTGTGATTACATGAATTAAAAAAATGCATCGTGTGCCTTAACGAATTGTTCCAATGCAATCAAGTGTCGTGTTTGACAGGTGATTGTTTTAAACTTTTAAGCAATCAAGTGTCGCGTTTGACGAAGGGTGACACATACCTCAATTTGGTAGAGCCTTTGGTTGCCTCCTCCGAAAGGAAAGTGACAAGTGTTGATGATTGTAACTTAGCTGCGTGTCCAACTCAACTGGCGTACTATTCTTTCGCCTTTTACTAAAGAATACCGTGGGTATTAAAAATGGAGAACAGCTGATTGTGTAGCTGGCATGGAGTGGACAGTAAGAAATATGAACCCCTCTGGCCAGGAATTGAACCCAGGTCTGCCAGGTCTGCGCTGTGGCAGGGTGCTATTAGACTCTACCAGTGCTCTGTATTCCGTCGCCGGGACTCGAACCCGGGTCGCCTGGGTGAGAGCCAGGTATCCTAACCAGACTAGACTACGACGGAGATGTTAATTGAGGTTGACCTCATCTACCTTTGATGATGTACTTAAACTACCAGTACTTGGGCACTGCGCGCCGTGCCGACCGCCCAAATCTCGAAGCAGCGCGGGCTGTCGATTCGATTTATTGACGGCCCGCTGGCCGCGGAAATCGCGTAGCGTTAATGCTAAGGCGTCGCCCAAGTACTGGTGGTTTAAGCAAAACCTTGTCCTGTGACCAGTTCTTTCAAAGCACTCGAGTGTCTTAACTGTGATTATATCGTCCAACAAAGCCTTGTGCCCGAACCGGTTCTTTCAAATCAATGAAGTGATTTGGTCGACATCTGATCTATAGCTCGACTAGTAGAGGCTTTGTGATATCGAACCACCACTACCTTTCGCAGGCAAACTCGAAACACAAATATAACCTGTACCGCATTCTTTGGAGGCCGGGCCCCACGGGACCAAAATGGCTGGCGATGCCAGCCAAAACAAAAGAAAAGTTGGCGCTGGTGCTTTGCAAGAGCTTGGTGCGCAGTTTTTTTCCGCCTTGGCAGAAAAAGAGGCTCTGAGGTAGTGGTGGTTTTGCTGTTGTTTCAAAATTCAAAGCAATCGAGTGTTATGTTCGACAGATGATCTGTACCTCAATCCAGTGGAGCCTTGGTTGCCTCCATTAAAACAAAGGTTGGTAGAACAGAATAGCAAGTGTTCTGTTTGACATCTGATCTATACTATTCTATAGCTCAATCCATAGAGGCTTTGTGCTCTAAGCTATTGTTTCAAAGCAATCAAGTGTTATGTTCGACAGCTCATCTATAGGTCAATCTGGTAGAGGCCTTGGTCGCCTCCAGGAAAGAAAAGTGTTGATAAAACAGTTCAGCTGATTGTGTAAGTGGAACGGGAGTTTCCTGAACAGTAGAAAAGAGAATTGCACTGGCCGGGAATCGAACCCGGGTCTGCACCGTGGCAGGGTGCTATTCTACCACTAGACCACCAGTGCTCACATTTCCGTCGCCGGGACTCGAACCCGGGTCGCCTGGGTGAGAGCCAGGTATCCTAACCAGACTAGACTACGACGGAGCTGTCAAACAAGTTTGACTTAACCATTATGACGTTTCTCGGCCTCTGCACTCGAGGGACCATAGATTCGTAGGTGCTTCTTCCTTCTTGCCTCTGCCTCTCTCTCTCTCTCTCTCTCTGCTTTTTCAATTTTAATTTTGACCGTTTGTTGATTGGTGTGTGTAATTGTGGCGCAGGGGTCATGCTAATCTCTCTCTCTCTCTCTCTCTCTCTCTCTCTCTCTCTCTCTCTCTCTCTCTCTCTCTCTCTCTCTCTCTCTCTCTGCTTTTTCAATTTTAATTTTGACCTTTTGTTGATTGGTGTGTGTAATTGTGGCGCAGGGGTCATGCTAATCTTTCTCCTCATTGTTCCAATTTGAATGCCTATGGTGGTCCCATGGAGAGTGATCATTTGTTGCGTTGTCACCGCCGTGTGGTTGCAGAACCTGCCATCAGAGTTTTCGCGGTTGTTACCTCGGAGCATCTCTAAGATGTGGCTTGAGGACTCGATGGGAAACGCGTGGACCTCTCGGTTTCTCGGCTCCAAAAGGGGAATACTGAGTGGGGGATGGAGAGCGTTTGCCAAAGACCATGGCCTCGTTCCTAATGACTGGGTTATCCTCGAGAAGCTTTCGGACACAAGACTGAAGGTACTACGGTCTGTCGATCCCTGATTTCATTCTACTACAACAAATATCTTGTAATTAAGATTGAATTAATCTATTTATGACTGGAACTACTTATATAAGAATGATAGTCCAATTAAAATATTTCATGAACTCATCCAGACTTCCATTCCATCTCTTCTAGCATGGAGTTCGATATGTGAACCCAGTGATAAAAAAGGTGAGAAGAGAATCACAACTTCATTCAGAACTGTCCAAGAGGATAGAAGAACGGAAGAACGCCTGAAGCGCTTAGACATTCATCCACAGTATCAGGACTTGTGGAAACATTCCCTGTGGGAAGAGTACGAGATCTCTTCCCAATCTCGCCACCCCTTGCTCCCTCAGCTCTTATCTCTGTCCCTTCAGTACCTCTACAAGCAGACCTCATGCCCTGAGTACTTAAGAAACCTCCCCCGTATGCCTTCCCTGGTCGTTGCATGGGCGGGCTGCCCGGGAAAACAAGGTGACCTGGGTGGCGCGGCTGGTAGCCTAGTCCTTTTTTTTTTTTTTTTTTTTTTTTTTYTYTTTTACGGAGTGCCGACGACCGCCGACTGGTAGGTGCCGACCAGCTGACTGGTCGGCTGGTTGGCAGCCGACCAATCAAGAGGCGCCGACCGTAGGCATGTGCAACTCTGAATATGAAGCAATAGTCGTTGTCAGAGAAGAAAAGTGAGGAGACCTTTCGGTTTAATATTTATAACATCAAAAATTTAGAATAATAAAATCTTGATTCGGCTCGTCTGTTAGGGATGGCAAAGTTGGGGTACAAGAAGGAAGGGGGGTAAAGGTGGTGGTTTTGCATACGCCATCAGACGGACGTGGAAAATAAGGGGGAGGGGTGGCAAGGGGGTTGCGTTTATTAAACTTTATTTGCATGTCATGAAATGTAGTGAGGGCTGTGAGACTACGTTTGTTTGTATTGCATGGCCTTTGCAATGTGGAATATCGTGGAGAGGAAGTCCATGAACGGTAAAAGGTTATATCGCGGAGACATTGGAGAGTCTTCAGCATGAGGTGAATTATCCGTGAATATGATTGATTTGCATTCAAACTGTAGTAAACTTTTCAAAATGATTGAAACGAGTGGATGTTGTTAGCAAATGTATCTGATCGCCTTTTCCCCTTACTTCCTTAGAGTTAATGTGCTGTGTTTTTCCCTTTTTCATCTCTTTTATCTAAAGGTGGTAGCTACCCTTACGTCATTGAATCCGCCCGGATTTGAGCTTACAGTCTGTTTATTGACAGTGATCATGTGTAGTGGGTGTGTCGCATTGAACCAAGAGGCAGGTATGAGCAAGTGTGCTATCAATTGGGATCCTCTTTGGGGTACTTTATTTGTGTTGTCACTGTTGTGCATAATTTATCCTTATCATACCAGGTCCAAGGAGGCCTGTGTTCTGTTGAACTGTATGCGTCGTAACTTGTAATGGTTCTTTTTGTATGTGTGTATGTGTGTGCGTGTGTGTGTGTGTGTGTGTGTGTGTGTGTGTGTGTGTGTGTGTGTGTGATGATGTCGTGTGTGTGTGTGATGATGTCGTGTGTGTGTGTGTGTGTGTGTGTTTATTGTACTTATTTTATTGTGCGATGTTTGTTGGTAATGGGTTGGTTGCTTTCTCTGGTAAGGTTTCAATCTTCAGGAGTGGGGGCAAGCCACCACTGAATCCACCTCCAAAGAAGAATGGGCGGAGACCGAAAGCAGAAATGGAAGCTCGTGCGAAAGCTGAGAACAGTGCACAAGACCTGGAGTTGCTATCCAAGGCAATCCAGAGGCGGAAGCGGACTGCACTCGTCAGCAATGGATCTGGAGAAGGGACCGGAAAACGCCGAAAGGTGGGAACACGGCCACCTGAGGAATCCCTGGGTGTCGAAATGGGAAAAAATGATGCTGTGGATGGACGAACTGAAAAAGGGGATAGCCTGCCAAATTTGCCAGCAGCCGTCATTAACACGGAAGAAGGCCGCCGGGTGGGGAGAATCAGATCAAACAGAGGAAAGTCTCAGGTGGAGGGGAGGTATGTAAACCAAGGAGCTGTGGTGCTGTCCAACAGTACAGAGGAGAAAGGAGAGAGCAAATCGACGCCATTGAAGAAGGCAGGAGGTGTTAGTGATGGCGATGCTATGAAGAAATCGCCAAAAGCATTCGATTTGCTCAAACCTCGAAAGACTAGCTTGGTCTCTGGTCAAGGAGGGCAAGAGGCAGAAGACCTAAGCTATGTGGATGTGGCCAAAGAAGGTATCATCACGGTAGTCCAAGTTTTAGATAAGAGGATCACGGAAACCGGCAAGCAGCAACTGTACGTTTTGCTATCAGGGGCCGATAAACCGTTATGGATCGATCAGAATGCTCTCAGTACTGACAAACTGTTCGACAAGACCCCTCCGCCACTGCGAGGAAGGCCAGCCACTACCAATCGGAATAAGAAGAAAGGCAAGAGATAAGCTCTGTACTGTTTTTCTCGTCATCAGTTCTAGAGTCCCCACTCAGGTATGCGTTCTCTAGTCTGATATCCTCTCTTGTCCTTCTGCTACGCATGTGACTCCTTCATGATGCAAACCCCAAATTTGGGACAGTGCCGTCAATTACAACCCAAGAAGAAGTGGAATGACACAAGAGGAGAGAGAGAATGAGGAGAGGAGGAGGAGGAGGAGGAGGAGGAGGAGGAGGAGGAGGAGGAGAAGGAGAAGAAGAAGAAGAAGAAGAAGAAGAAGAAGAAGAAGAAGAAGAAGAGGAAGAAGAAGAAGAAGAAGGAGGAGGAGGAGGAGGAGGAAGAAGAAGAAGAAGAAGAAGAAGAAGAAGAAGAAGAAGAAGAAGAAGAAGAAGAAGAGGAGGAGGAGGAAGAAGAAGAGGAAGAAGATGAAGCAGGAGGAGGAGGAGGAAGGAGAAGAAGAAGAAGGAGAAGGAGAAGGAGAAGGATAATAATAATAATAATAATAATAATAATAATAATAATAATAATAATAATAATAATAATAATAATAATAATAATAATAATCAGAAGGAGAAGCAGAAGGAGAAGAAGAAGAAGAAGGAGAAGAAGAAGGAGAAGAAGAAGGAGAAGAAGTAGAAGAAGAAGAAGAGACTTGTCTTTCTGACTTTCCGGTTGGAAAAGGAACCAGAATGACTGTTACATGCCCAGTTGGGCGATGTACATAATAACCGAGGATCCGCAATGTGATAAAAAGGCCTGAATGGACAATACAGTGCAAGTGGGATCTCAACAAGCAATGTGCATTCCGATACATACAAAAGGGTGCTTTATAGTGCAGGGAAGACTTTAGGTACAAGTCCTGACCTGACCGGGACTGACCCCTTTCACGTAGTACGAGATAGCGAAGCAGAATGCTAGAATACTAAGGACTAGCCCACTCAATGTTTCAACGGAGACCAAACATACATCATGCTCATCACAAGGTATTATGGGGCCTGGCGCTACACACAGGAAGGGGGCGCCAGGTCCAGACATACACGGACGAAGAGGAGGGGATCAGACGAAGAAGAGGAAGGGGGAGATGGGAAAGTCGTCAACACCAAGTACAAGTCCCAAATAATCCGGCTTCAAAATGTCTGAAGTCCAACGTCGAGTCTGGATCCAAATATCACCAAGCTCTCTCTCTCTCTCTCTCTCTCTCTCTCTCTCTCTCTCTCTCTCTCTCTCTCTCTCTCTCTCTCTCTCTCTCTCTCTCTCTCACTCTTTCTCTCTCTCTCGCGTAGTCTGCTGATGCAGTGAAGTCAGATAGCGAGAGGGTGAGAAGGAGATGGTGGACTGAGAAGAGGAAGAAGAAGAACTCTCTCTCTCGTGTGGCAGGTACTAACCTGTGAAGATGGCGCTGTGCTGCAGGTACCTCGAAGACGAAGCTGGAGCAATGGCGCTGCAGGTAAGTCCCTCTGGCCTCCGCCCAATCTCTCTCTCTCTAGTACTACTCTAGCTGCTAGGGGGCCCAGCGCTGAAGACTACAGCTAACGCTACTAGTGCCCAGCGCTGAAGACTACTGCTAACGCTGCCACTACTCCTGCAGCGCTCCTCCAGAGTGCTGCTGCCGAATCCTGAAGACTACCTCCTGCCTCCTGAACTGCACGTGAAGTGCCTGGTAAGTACCTAGGAACTGCCTTCCTGCCTGCAGGGCGGGCCAGTCCTATATACTGCTGGCCCGTCCAGGAGGCTGCTCTTGCCAATGCCGAAACGTGCCAGACCCTGGCGTTGAAGCTCAAATAAAGTTTGTCTTGAAAATAGGCCCGAAATGGCCGGTGAAAAAACCCTGGTTTGTTGCCTGAGTTTCAGGGCAGGTCGAACCAACGAGGGCCCGAAAATAGTCCTCAGTTTCAGGCTGAAGACACTCAGGGCCGGAAAGGCCCTGATTTAGCCTGAAACGACACAGGGCCTGTAGGCCCTTGTTTTCAGCCTTTCAGGCTGAAACGACACAGGGCCTGTAGGCCCTTGTTTTCAGGCTTTTGGCCTGAAAACGTCACGGGCCTGGAAATGGCCCGTGCAGCCTGTTGCTTGCGCAGCATGTAACAATGACCCTGACCAGAACAGAAACGAGCTGTAGCCGCCGCAGTAAACAGGGAATTTGAGGGAAATGAAAAACGAAGGATGACAGTTCGAGATTAGGAAGTGCTCGAAGCAACACTCTTTCATTCTTTTCAAAAAAAAAAGAAAAAAGAACACTCTTTCATCTTGAGATTGCCCCGGAGAGAGTGATCGAGATCCCCACTGGTGCATCAGGATCCGTTGCACGAAAGCAGCTCCGTTTGCTTCCTTGTATCATCCCTCAAGAGTTGTTCCAAAGATGATCAAGGTTATGCCATCGAGTCTTCTCGATGTTTGCCCACCAAACGGCGGCCGTCGAAGAAGTAGAGTGGTTCGTAATCGTCACGCCAACCAAGGTCTGCTCGAGCTTTTGTTTGGCAACAAGAGTGAGACTGATCTGCTATCAGTAATCGTCCAAATGACCGTCAGTGGTATGCTGTGAGGCTGTGTGAGCTATGTTTTCAAGAATTCCATCACATCAGGCTGTGTGTTGTTATGAGATGTTGTTTCATGAAAACAATATCATTTTCATCCGCCTGTGTAACCTCTGTGGTAGAAGGGCTGTTTGCTCTGAGCACCCTTGCAATGCTTGTGAAGGGGAGAGTTCGGTCACTTCGGTGATTTGAATGAAGGCGCGCAGGAAACTTGGGTGAAACTTAGAAGCAGAAGATTGGATGATACAGGCAATGAAAATTGGGAATGAAAACTGCACGCGGAGACAGCCCGGTGGAGGGGGAGAGGTTTGGCGTTTTCGAAAGAACAGATGTGGAAGAGATTGGGCAAAACTGGATGGAATTGGAACATATAAGAGGGGGGAAAACAGGGGGATGAAAACAGTTGGGGGGAGGGTGGCACATGGGAGAGTGGAGTTCTCCCTCCCTGGGCCAATTCTTTAACCGACAGTGATTGTCATCTACAATCCCTACACACAGAAATCACTAATGTGAAAAATCTGGCATCTGGGCCGTCTGCGGCTCTACTGGGCCGACGGCCCAGATCGTTGTGTGATCTTCTGATTTTAAGATCGCACGGCAATCCAGGCCGTGCGTGGTCCTACCGGGCCACGGTCAGGATCGAGGCGCCGTCTTAAGATTTTGGGATCGCGCAACGATCTGGACCGTCAGTCCGGTACCGGTTGGCCAACGGCCTGGATAAGAAGTTTGCAGCCCAACCTAAGTTAGGGCTGCCAGGCCTGGGAAAAAACCGGTTCCAGGCAGGTCAGTCCCCTATTGGGCGCAGCGGTCAGCCCTTTTCCTGCACATATATTTGGCAGCGCATAGTGGGCAGACACACGCACGCGGTGTATAGCGGCTGAGACAACATGCACTCACATCGAAGTCCGCCCGCCCGCCCGCCCCCCTGCACAAACACACGCACACACGCATGCACGCACACATGCACGCAAATGCATCGTGGGCAGGCTGTCGGTGTTCAACCTCCTGAAGAGTTGGTGAAAGTCCAACGAAACAGTCTGGCACAGTCATGCTTTTGTGGAGTTGTGTGTGTGTGTGTGTGAGTGTGTGTGTGTGTGTGTGTGTGTGTGTGTGTGTGTGTTGTGTTTTATGATGCGTGGCTCCTGCGACAAAGTCACAGCATGCTGTGATACAATCCGCGTTACAAGAACAACACCATGAAACGAGTCGCACCGTATCCAAATTTTAATACTGTACATCACAAACGGCAAAGATGAACAAAAGCCAAAAAAACAAAAGGACAATATCCATCACTATAATGACGCGCAAAGGAGCTCAAAACAGAATGGGGAACAGCAGCCAAGCCACACAAACGCCACCATGTTCACAGAAAGCTCCACATCTCCGATAACTGTGCAAAGGGGAGGGCGAATGGATTACATATGTAGTCGGCAACAAATTACTACAGTGATAACAACCATAAGACTCAGGACTTTCCATTCGTTACGGTTACCATGCCGACTCAGACAAGATGCGAGGAGTTTTACGATAGATCAGGAAAAAGGACATCCGGGAAGCTGCAGAAACCAAACCCTTCATCAACACAGTAGTCTCGTTAAGATTCTCAGTTAACTAAAGCATGGTCCACCAAATAACATTTTAGGACTGGAAAAAACGGGGCGGAGCTCATCATTAGCGCGTCCTACGAGAATCCGTTGAGCAGCAACAATCAATCGAAGCACACTTGACCTAATGCTTGAACCCATCCACGAGCAAACGAAACAAATCCGTACACAACTACTTAGTTGTCCCTCACGAGTATTGCCGAGACAGCTACAACACCCTCACCAGGGAACCCACCATGCGAGTAAGGACTTACGACAGACATCGATTAAACCAAAGAAAGAAAGAAAGTAAGGAAGTATGGAAAAAGAAACATATCAGCCTTCTCCTCAAAAACAAGCCTCGGTACTAACGACGAAGGGTTTTCCAGAGTAGGACAATCACAGTGGGAGGGTGCGAACTCAACCGCCCAGAGAGAACTTCTTCCAGCCAACGCAACCTGCATGCCACCATATAGCTCAAAAATGCTGCCATAGGAACATCATGGTGATGACAAGGAAGACAACCACTTGCAGCGAAAGCCAAAACGACGCCGCGACCATACTAAAGATGCAGGTAGCAGGGGGAGAGGGCGAATCCGCAAAGCAGATGGAAGCATGCTGGGCGCAGGCCGACCACATAGCAAAAAGCATCAGACACACGGCGAGGGAGTAGAGGAGAGCAAGGAACAGGACGGGGGCACATAGACAGTAGGCCATCGGCAAGCAGCGATTGAAGCGAGAAGCCATGACTTCCATATTGGGGAGAGTAGCCACTACACAGCAGGATCAGACTTTCCGTCAGCGAGATCCACTGATCATACCCTACGCAACAGAGGAGAAGGAAGTTTCGCTAAAAAAACTGGGCACTGAGGGTCATCAATCAAAATTAGCACTAGCGCCGGATCTCTACGCCTTGCACCATCTGGCAAACGCGGGAGTGGAAGTGAAATTCCGATAGCCGTTGGTGGAGTACAGCGACCGGATCGACTGATGATCCAAGAATGACAAAAAGGCGAGGTGCGACGTGAAGGACAGAACGAAGACGAATGCCACGACAATCAAGCTCAGAAAATCCATGCCGCAGTGCCTTCTTGGTCGCCTTGCTAGCAGTCCAGAAGCGAGGTACTCATAATATCCTACATCCATTATTCGTAAACATACACACGACAGACAACCCAGCGCGGAGTGAAGGAAGGAACACAACAGGACAATAAACCAGGGGTAAGCGATCAAGGACACATTAAGTGAATACTTGAGCAACCGAAATCCGAAAAAAGCGGAAAAAAACAGTAAAAGGAAGAAGAAGAAAGGAAGGTCCCAATTCAGTCAGACAGCCCCAAAGTGCCGACGTATGTTTAAGAGGGCGATGGATCACGCTCTTAAGTACTTTTCACCAGCTCCCATCATACTGGCTCTTCAGAGAACTAAACCTCCCACATATCGTACTGAAAGGGACATGAACCGTTTAACGGGCATAGCCCAGGTTCCATAGACCACACAGAAACAAGGAAGGAGAAGAATTTTGCTTCAATCATACAGTCGAGGGAAAGGGGGAAGGGGAGGGGAAAAAAAAGGGGGGGCGGGAGGGGGGACAGCAGGGGCACAAATCTTTTTACCCCTTCATGCGTCATGTAGTGAAGCTCCCACTCGAACAATCAGGAATGCGAACCACTACTGTGCACACCGATATCGTCGAACAACAAAAAGCCCGGCGAACACCTTCACCACCTCAGTGCAAATACAGCGATGGACGGAGTATACTACTCGGAGGGCATCAAAGAGAGGAACCCGCCATCGTGCCCCTTAGTTCATGCCGGAATTAGGTGATCACAGCTGGAATATCGTGCGCGCGTGCCACAATCAGGTAACAACGCCGATAATCCCATGCGGAGGCGAGCGGCTTGGGATAGGAAGCTCTCGACAGCGGGAGTTCCTAGCGCAAGCACACATCGCCTCATAGTCGGGAAACGCTTCGTCCGAAACCAGAGGGATAATGGCATTGATGGCATGGTATATATCCAAAGTTAGATCAAATAGAGCGCGGTTGTCCGAAACGCCGGGAACAATAAAAAAACTGGGACCGGGGGAGCAGAACCTGGGCCGAAAAAAAGCATAATTCAGGTTTGTCCTTTTTCTCGGCAAGGCGAGCAGAGGATTATACCCACGGTATGCCCCTCGTCGGGTGACCTCCAGAGGTAAAGGTCCGAACACAGGCCCCAGGGTCGAACAGACCTTTTCCTTTTTCTTTTCAAAAGAGCAGGGGGGGTCTCTTCGAGGACTCTTTAGTTTTTCGTAGGGCCATAATTCGACGGTGGGGTCAGCGCCAGTTCGTTCCTTAGACCTATAGTACAGAGAAACATCTTGTGGAAAGGATAAAAGGGTAGTCGATCATAAAAAAATATTTTTTCATCTTTATTTTTTCTCACTCTTATTATTTTTAATTTATTATTTTTTTAATAATGCAAGAGCGTGTGTGTGTGTGTGTATGTGTGTGTGTGTGAGAGAGAGAGAGAGAGAGAGAGAGAGAGAGAGAGAGAGAGAGAGAGAGAGAGAGAGAGAGAGAG